AAAAAAAAAGGAATGAAATTAAATATGAAAAAAAAAAAGAAATAAAAAACAAGGAAATTAAATGAAATAAAATTAAACAAGAAATGAAAGCAAAAAATTAAAAAAATTAATAAAATATAAAGGGAATAAAAACAACAAACCAGGGGGGATAAATGGGTCACGGGACCCACGGTAAAAACGAAGTTCTTTAAATATGAGTTAAACTAGTTTAGTACTCACGATGATTGAACTTCGTGAGAACGTCGTTCATAAATACAGTACTTATGAAGTTAAACCATCGTGAGTACTGAACTATTTTTTTTTGTTTTTGCTTCGTTTTTCAAGTTTTTGTTTAGTGAACTACATGAATGCAGTACTAACGTTAATAGAGCTTCGTTTTTTCTACGGGTCTGGTGACCTCCTGGTTACCTGAGAAATTGCGTTTTTATACTCATGTCATGTTTAATGAACTTCGTTCTTACCGTGGGTCCCGTGACCCATTTATCCCCCCTGGTTTGTTGTTTTTATATCTATATATATGTCGTGCATCATATTTCCTTTCTTGATTGTAATAAATCTTGTTTACTTTCCTAGGTACAGGGCTGTATTTCACTACCTACGTGGCGACTTAATAATAATTCGATGAATAGAAACGTAAGTGGCAAGATAAGACGGTAAAAGATCGGCGTTCGTCTTTCACTTGATTTTTCCTTTTTATCGTTATATTTTTTTTGGTGGTAATTGGGGAAAACTATTCTTTTGGAGCTGTCTCTCGTTTATTTCTCGTTATAAAGATAATAATAATAAAGATAGTTATAAATTTCTCAGCTGCTATGGGTGTAAGTAATTAATTACGGATGTTACCTATGTCTGTACCAGGCGTACTAATAAAATTACTTCGTTATCCGTTTGTTATTTAAAAATTTGTCTAGTCAACTGTATATTTAAGTTTGTTATCCCGTGTGTCTTTTGCTTTGAGTCTCGAGAGAGTAACCACTAAAGAAGGGTAGCTGGTGAAATAATAAATATATTCTGAAATTAAAAATTTTCCCCAAACCTATCTTTTCCTAATAAGTGCCTTGGGAGTAAGAAAGAAAATAAAATTTTATTATTAAATTACTAACGTGCACGTCACTATGCACACCAATAGAAATAAGGTTGTGAAGACCATTTCCCTCGCCTTTTGTCTGCTTGATCCCGTGATTGTCAGCGATGAGTACCCTGGTCCTACTGGCTTCCAGGCTGCTGTCACCGCTGCTCGTGAATCGGTCCTGTCGCTTCTCATTGAATCCTAGGCTTCTTGATTTTAAATCGTCGTATTCTCGCGGCACTGCACTATGTGTGCTTCTTGGCAGAATTTTTTGAAACGCATAAAATAAAAATAAAAATTCCGATTCTCACCAAACCCCACACCTAGCACCAAACTGTTACGTGGGAATATCATCGGTGACGAGGTGCGTTGTGAGAATGACCAACAATTATAATATCAAGAGCTTTATAAAATTTACCAAAATTTAAGGCAAAGTAGCGCGTGTGCTTGGTCTGTCCGATCTCCTTTGTTCGCCTGACCCCCTTGAACTCGCCTGACTGCCCGACAGCCAAATCCCACGAGAGCCACGACTAGAGTTCCCTGATTAAAGGCTCGCTGGGCCTTACATAACCTCGTCCCCCTTCTGTCGATGCTTTCTTGCTGAGATCGCTTCGCTGTTGTCAAGGGGGGTCAGTATGATATGCCCTGCATATCGTACGTAACAACACATAGAAGAAAGTAAGCTTTGTACTCGTAAGTTAGTGGAAACTATACATTTTATGTTATGGATCTATAAGATTATTAAAATGTGTAATAAAATGCTGTTTAAAATCAGTAAACATAACTATACTGATTCAATAAATAATTCTTTAACATAAATTTTTCCAGCATTATAACTTAGATATTATTTGCAGGCTTCCTAAATCGTTATTACCTTTTTGTTAAGATGAATTAAATCACGTATCTTTATTTTATTATAAACTTACATTAAGTTAAATTAAGTTATTCTACGATGAAATGGTATTAATAACTTTGATTCACTCAAGTCATTATATATTTTCAGAGAAGATGAAGGTTTCATTAAAGAAGAAGAAAAACCATTACCGTCCCATGAATTTCAAAGAAAAGTATGGTTATTATTTGAGTATCCTGAAAGTTCACAAGGGGCGAGAGTTGTAGCTATAATCTCTGTGTTCGTGATTTTATTGTCAATAGTGATATTTTGTTTAGAAACTCTTCCAGAATTTAAGCATTACAGGGTGTTTAATACGACTACTAATGGCACTAAGATTGAAGAAGATGAAGTGCCAGATATTACAGATCCGTTCTTCCTTATAGAAACTATTTGTATAATTTGGTTTACATTCGAACTATCAGTGCGCTTCCTTGCTTGTCCAAATAAATTAAACTTTTTTCGTGACGTCATGAACATTATTGATATAATTGCAATTATACCATATTTTATTACGTTGGCTACAGTAGTAGCAGAAGAAGAAGATACGTTAAATTTGCCTAAGGCCCCTGTAAGTCCTCAAGACAAAAGCACAAATCAAGCAATGTCACTTGCAATTCTACGAGTCATAAGACTTGTAAGAGTATTTCGAATATTCAAACTATCCAGACATAGTAAAGGACTTCAGATTCTAGGGCGTACCTTAAAAGCGTCAATGAGAGAACTTGGTTTACTCATATTTTTCCTATTTATCGGTAAGTGAGTACATTTATAAGATAACATGAGCAATTATTTATGTAGTTTGACTTTTAATAAGTACTTTACTAGTAAAGAGTAGCATAAACAGTAATTAACAAACAATTTAAGAAAAGTTTTACAATTCTCTTTTACCAAATAGCTGAATAACACTAGTTATAACTTTCTTTAATTTAAGTTGTTGATACAGCCAGATTTCATTTGCAACGTTGCAAATGAAACGATCAAGTAAACTATTTTCTATTTTTTAGGAACCACTTGTAGTGCACATTTGGTAAGGAATAGTGTTACTGTCGTTGTGCATTACAAAAATTTAATTAAAACAAAAGAACTAGATTGTCATCCGAATAATATTGCCAGAATTTAGATAAAAAGAGATCATTTACATTGAAACGACGTTAACATTGCCTGTAATTTTTAGCCATAGTCAGGTACAGGTACAGTAGGCAATAAAAAATTTTAGCTCACCATCAGAGCCCAAAACTAACAGGAGCTAGCTAAATATTGTAGCGATTTTCTGTCATCAGCAGCCTCGTACGTAGTTTATAAATACGCCGAGCCAATGTACATACTATAGACAAAGCTACTATTTGGCTACATCAAGCCTCTGCCAGCTACAGACTTTAATGACTGGATAGCATATTATGCTAGAGGGTTTAGCTTGACATCTAATGACACAAAGAAAATCATGACTTTTTTGAAACAGTCTTTCTTTTCTCAAATTTCTGTCAAAGTTAGAGGGTACCATTTTTACTACTTTTTGTTGTTCTAGAAGAATTACGGTCGTACAGTATTTTCGTTTTTTCGTTTATTTTCCAACTTTATCTTTAAACTACTTAATCACTGACAACTTTATCTTTTAACTAACCAATAACTAATTAAATTATTTGAAAGAAATTTATTATTCTACAGTTTATCTCACCTCCTGAAAATTGCAAAATTTTTGATATACCTAACAGTGAAAGAATATTAATCCATCTTTTTAACCACCTATCAGATTATTAAAATATTATCATTATCTGCAAATTATGGCATTTATAAGATAAATGGCTTGGTATTTATATAATTATCTTTTACTTTGACTGAAAATCTGATTACTCAAAGTTCCTACTTTAACACGTTTCTTTGCAAGAATTAATACTTTGTTAACAAATTTTGTATTTCTTGTTTACTATTTTGTTTGTGGTATCTTTATAAGATACTTTTTTGCTTTTTATATTATTTCTTCTATTTTCACCCCATTTAATGTACTCTATGCATGAATTGAGGTCCGTATGATATTCAAAAAATGAAAAGAGAAGAAAGTTTATATTATCAACAAATGCAATCTAAAAAAAAAAATTTACTAAATAGTGATTTTTAATGTGCTTCAAGCTATACAATAATATACATGTAAATACAGGAGACGATCCACGTCAAGTGGAAGCCCTCTGGTCCACAGTTAGTTAAAGATTAAAAAAAATGTTTTTAGCATGGAATGTAGCGTATATTCTTTTGTCTTATGTAGCATGTGACCTTTTCTGAAAATTTGTTGTGGTTAATTAACATGGCTACTAGAAGCTGTTCACCTCCCCCAAGAATAAAACTTTTTTTTATGTAACATAAACTTCAATTAGGGCTAAGTTTTAGAGTTTGCGTAACATCTTGTTTCCTACATTGCTAGATGTATCTCTATTTATTTTACTTATTTTTCTTCTTGAGCGTAATTCCTTACATGCGAGAAGTTGTAAGAAAACAGTTCGTGTCACTTACAACCACTCTGTTATTGGTTGATACAGTTCTAATATAAAAAATGTATTTTTAATGTGTGACTGTGAATCGATACTTATATTAAAAGTAAACTTCTAAATGTAGCTCTTAACCATCAAATAATTGCAAAAAACAAGGTCTTACATAAATGAAGGATATAAAAATGACACACATTTTAGAAGCTGTCAATAAGTTTAGCTGATGTTGTATGAATAAACTTCTATTTTGTGGAGACAACGACTGCTTTTAGCTACAATGTTGGTCTGCCATTAAAATTTTTGCAAAAAGTCTACATGGTGATTAACACAAGAAGATAAAGGCAACATTGTAGACTTTTTGGTACAAAAAGAATTTTGAAAATCTTCCACCAATTATAAACACGGGGATCTGGTTAATGTTTATTGTCATATGTGTATGTATCTCCCTATATCATATAGTTATTCTAAAAGGACTGCTAAATAATTAATTGTAATTATTTAACATTACTATCCGGTAAAAACTAGACATTTGTAAACTTTAGTCTCACGCTCCCTGAAGGGCTACGGGACCAGCAGTATGTCTAACGATTCGGTTGCTTCCTTTGCTTAGTAAAATGTGATTTTTAGTATGTTTATATTTAATGATATGTATAATTAATAATTTTAATTACCTCTACTTTATTTGACTTGTTCTTAATTGATTTATTTTCTATTTAATTTGGATACAAATTAATTGTACAAAGTGATGAAGAAACAAAAGAACAGTAAGACCTTCTTTAATAGAAATCTTTAGCAAGTTACTTGTATAATTAAGTACTTTTTTCAATGAGCGGCAGTGAGCTACCAACTAAAATGCCGCATAAGTAAATACACCTAGCGTGAAGTTTTAGTTAAAACTTCCTTGTCTTACATGCTATGGGGCTGGCACTTGCTGGCTTCATGTGTTTAGACTAAATAGCTCGCTTCAGTTTTCACTTGACACTTCCAAAAGCCACGAAGTATATAGTCATCTTTATTAGGTGACGACTTTCTGTAAGTTTGACTGTTATAAGAGTCTTAAGATTTTATCAGTGAGGGAATAAATACATCACGAAAAACAATGAAAAATAAAAAATTCATTAATTAACGCAAGTCGTCACTTAACAACCTCTCCTTCTTAAGACTATCATCGTCCTCGGTGAATATATATATAATTCACTCAAGTCATTATATATTTTCAGAGAAGATGAAGGTTTCATTAAAGAAGAAGAAAAACCATTACAGTCCCATGAATTTCAAAGAAAAGTATGGTTATTATTTGAGTATCCTGAAAGTTCACAAGGGGCGAGAGTTGTAGCTATAATCTCTGTGTTCGTGATTTTATTGTCAATAGTGATATTTTGTTTAGAAACTCTTCCAGAATTTAAGCATTACAGGGTGTTTAANATTTATTTATATACATATTATAATTATGAAAAAAATGTATTTTTTGTTTTTTTATTTTGGAAAAATGATTCGTATTGGGCCGATGTTTTAAGCATTCAATGGTCAAAAAGTATTAAAAGATTCGATGATGGTTATGTTAGTTAATACTTCGGGTATCTTTATACTTCCGTACAAGGAAAGGTTTGATTTTTTCATCTTTATTTTCCACCTTTGTTGTTTGTCTTTTTTTTTAAGTGCTATAAATTAAGTTACCATCGTTGGGGTCCATCGGCCGTTGCATTCACAGTTTGAAGGTTCTGCTTGTCTATTGTATATGTAATTCTGTAAGCGTAAATATAATGGGTGTTATGATGTTTATTGATTGATACTGTATATGTATGAGTCATGTTTGTATTATATTTCTTGCTGTTATTTATTGCAACAGTTCGTATGTTATATGTGGAATGTAAATATAAAAATAAAAATTAGTTTTATAAGACTATTGGATGATGGGTAGATAATACATGGATAAATCCAATCATTTTTAATCATGCTATGTGGAAATATTTGTGGAATAATAATACGATCAAATAAGTCATCTTAATACATACTGAAGCTTTATATTAGAAGAAAAAATTTTACAATATAGTAATATGCAATTTTGATAAAACATTATGCATTAATTTCAAAGCCTCGATGTTTTTTTTTGAATTTTTTTTGAATTTTAAAATTTTTTTGTACTTTTTTTCTGATGTCTGTGTCTACTCATATGGTTGAAATACGTGGCAGTAATAATTAATTAATTATACGTTTTCTCATTGGCCTTATAAAGCTTAAAATTAATATCTCTGAACTGAGTAGGTATTTCTTGACTTAAAAAGTAGCTAGTTGAATAGTAGGGTTCAATTATTGGGCTCATTTTCTACTACTTTTAATTTTTTCTCGTGAATTGATGACTTTGGCAAAGGTTAGCTTTGTTTCTGAAGTTTGTGTACGTCATTGTCTTGTGTATGTAATGACAAGTCTTTAATATGTCATTAACTTAACTTGTTGTTGACAAAATAAGTGAGTCAACTTCTTGTTCAATTTGTGTTTTGCACTCCTTTTAATTGGTTTGGTGTATCTCGTGCGATACTGAGGCTCATCGTTCGACAACTCTAGAATAGAATCTGCGCTCTCAGGATGAAGTATTTTATTCTTGGGATAATCTTTCCCACCGATCTCTAACGGCACAACAATATTCTATGGTACTTAATTAAGAGAAATGGTTAAAGAAATCTCTACCCCCTTTCGTTTTTTCTATATACTGTGGTAGAAGACACATTTGTCGTTTTGGATTAATGTTTGGTATTATTGTCACTCTTTTGTGATGTTGGTAAAGACACATTTGCTGCTTAAGAAATAGTGGATTTTGTCTTGAAAGTGTCCGAATTATTACTTTTTTAGCGTTTCATTAGATTTTTTATCAAATGAATAACTATTGCAAATGATAGTTATAGTTTATGTGTATAATTATATAAATCTGAAAATATGTGAATTTCCTTGATGTTTACTTCGATTCTCAATTGTTCAATAACTTCATGGAACCTATGTTAATTTTAGTCTTTATTGTTACTTTATAGTCAGGGTTTTATTGTGAAACCTGGAAGGGAAATGGAATAAAATAACTATTGATTTATAAGTCTATTTTTAATTTTTGGGGTGTATGGCGTGGAGGTTTCAAACTTTATATGTTTACTATAGGTATAGGTTACTAAGGTATCTTTTTTTTTTTTTTTTTTTTTTTAAATCGATATCAGTTGGTTTGCATTCTTTTGGTTCTTGTTTTAGGGTTACTTATAGTTTTGCATTCAGTAGATTTATGGTGC